GTGCAGGGCTCCCACGCCGGATATGCGTCGCTTTGGTGCATGTGCGCGTCTAGTAGCCTCGAGCACAGCATGCACGAGCAACTTGCGGCACAAGCGTTCTCCCTTTGGATCCTGTGTGCATAGAGAGTACCCGCTGGCGCATGGGGGACGGATGGATGGACGACAACATTGTGCTCGTGCACATTGTGTTCGTGGCCACAGTGTAGCTGCCTCGTTGCGGCACCCTCGTTACCTTTGCTCGCCCCCTCCTCGCATGCCACAGCTCCGGAAGGTCACAACCATCCAGGAGTCCCATGGGTGGGAGAGAGAGTACCCTTGTCTCTCGGCAGCGAGCATCACAAGAAGCAACAGCATGCAGTGAGCAGCAGTACGTCTTGCTAATTTTTTGTTTTGTAAACTGCCAAGGTAGTTATTACTCCCTCCTTCCCATAATATAAGATCGTTTTGCAAGATAAAACAACTTACAAAACGATCTTATATTATGAGATGGAGGGAGTATATGTGATTATAGAGACCTCATGTATGGAAGCTACGTGTATTCAGGAAGTTGTCAAGCAAAGTGAACATTGACGAAGGGATGCATCACACGCTCCAGCAAACTTTTATCAACGGCCATCCCCTGGTGTGATGAAAAGCTAGGGATCAAACTAAGTGGTTTTCTTATCACACAGGCATCCTTCACTCAAATCGTTCGTATTGTTACTACCTATTGCACATGATTTCCTTTATTTAGCCATGTCCACAGAATGCTCGACACGACATGTTCATGAAACATTTTTCTTGAATCATATGGACATTTTTCTACATTGTATAAGAACTTTCAAAAAGTTCACTATCATCTTTATAACATGTGAAGAAACACGTTTCAAGGTATTTAACTAAGGCCAGGGCCCATTATGCGTAAAGGTGCAGTCTGGTAAGAGAGTGGGTTTTCAGCTCCCGTGTGCATAGGCACCCTCTATGAACAGTAAAATCAAAACAAATAGAAAACAAATAAAAATAAAATCTGAAACTTTGCAACATCAAAGATGATCAAACTTTGTAGGCGCTTGCAAGTTTTGATGCTAAAAAACCATTCTAGGAGCTCTACACATGAAAAAGATTTCAGTGCTTGAAGTTTTGAGCATTTTTATTACTGAAAACCGATACTCGTTCGTGCACCTTTCTCTACATGATATTTTGGCATGAAAACTTGCAAGAACCTATAAAGTTTGATCAACTTTGATGTTGCAAAGTTTCATATTTTTTTTTGAATTTTTTTGAATTTACTGTTCATAGAGGGTGCCTAGGCACCCGGGAGCTGTCACACCTTTCTCGTCTGGTAATGGCCAGAACTGATCAACTGAACCACAGCTTGGCAAAAAAGAGCAAGAACATCTTCGATTTTCGCCCATGGAAGGAGGATTTATTTTAGAAAATACAAAAAGCAATTAAGTTTACAAAGAAATAACTAATTAATTTGAAAATGCATTCCCTAAAAACAGTAAAAACACATTTGTAATTTTCCAGGTGCATATTTAAGTGAAACAACCAAACAAGAACAACACAAGTTCAATTATTTTGCAGGGAGCACACATTCAAATTCGCTAGAGCATGTCATAGATTCGGTAATTTAACCGCTCATACAATATAAACTTTTGAATTCTAAAAGAAAAAAATGATATTTTTTTTTACATAAATTTCTGATACAAGCTACAAATTTACATAAATACTATTTTTTTGAACCTAGAGTCCTTATGAAGATACATGTAGCTTAAATTTTGATTACACCCAAAAATAGCTAGATAATATAGAAAATGATTTCAAAAAATTGCATATCTATGCTATTGACATTATAATGTAGAATGTTCCATTTAGAAACAAAATGAAGTATTGTAGATATGTGCCGCAAAAAAAAGTATTGTAGATAAATATTTGTGGAAGCTAGTACACAAGGTACCTCCACTTGATGTTTCAAAGATAAAAATTACAAATTATCAGATATGAAGATAGAACATATCTTGGTGCACACTGATGTGAAAGGAAGTTGTAGTGCAAACTTTAAGGTAAAGAAATAAAAAAATGTTTGTGGAGTACAAATTACTTTTTGGTGGAGTACATACTTCTTAGCTTGCCTTGAATGTTACGGTGCAGAGGCTAGTAACAATAAAGTTGATTTTTTATGCTAAGAAAAGTTATCTATCCATTTGGTTGAGTTGTATGCACTGTTGTGTTCTCCTACCAAAAAAGGCCGGGCATGTGATGATTCTTGTTTTGTTTGCAGTGTACGTGTAATCCTGGACCAAGATATGCCAACCTTCCATGATGTGTAGATTTCATTCACCCTTTTCTGCTCGAGGTAGATAAGCATCACTTTATCGAATGATGTGTAGGCACGTAATACTCTAAATAAAGCCAAATGGGCTATCTTCGTTCAAGCTACCACCATCCATGTGAAGCTAGCAAGGAGTACACCGTTAGCCTAGCGAGGAGTACACCGTTAGCTTACTTTGTGTGCACAACTACACATTATAAGGAGTCGAGCCTGATTGCCTATAAATATTTAAATACACATTAAGCTGATGACATGGCAGTTCAACATCTCACAGTCACACAGGAGATCTAATAGCCCCACAGGTTAGGATGTGCCTGATTGATCTTCTCTTTTAGAATAGTTCTCTGCAGGTGATTTTGTGTGACAATTTCAGTTATTTGTTTTGATCAAAGGAAGCAAGCATCATAAGGATGAGTTCTATGGACAAGAAGCCAGAGGGAGGGAACACTGGTACTGGTGACCACAACCAGAAGACAGAGTGGCCAGAGTTGGTGGGGAAGTCGGTGGAGGAGGCCAAGAAGGTGATTTTGCAGGACAAGCCAGAGGCGTGGATCGTAGTTCTGCCAGTGGGGACAGTTGTGACCATGGAATATCGGATCTACCGTGTTCGCCTCTTTGTCGACAGACTCGACACCATTGCCCAGGTCCCCAGGGTCGGCTAGCAAGCTTGAGAGCTGGCCTGCTGCTCGCATACATGTATTGCAGCTTGATTATCTCTTCTTCGATATAGCAAGATTGAGATATATAGATCATATACAATAAGAAGTTGATGCATGATAGGTTAATGGATAATGGAATAAGTCAGAGTGCGTAATATGGTTAAGGTTTGTATGTAAGCGTGCTTCCGTTCAATTAGTTTACACATGTATGATGCCGTACCCTGTGTAAGAATCCGTCTGATTATCCAATTAATTTGCCAATTCATCACTACTCATAGGGTCACCGAGTAGCCGATAAACTGATCACGACATCACGTATATTGGCTATGACGCCGTACCTTGTGAGATGACGTTATTGATAGTTCACCCATATTGGCTATGCATCATTATCTTGCCGCCAATGCTTACCAGATCAGTGAGAGAAATGATTAGTTTTTCCTTGCAGTTCGTCCAAAGTGATCACAAGTCAACTCCACTACAGTAAATCATCTAAATATTCATCACGCATATCGCTGCCAACTATACCTAGGTACGTACCAAAGGATAATTCAGGTGCTGGTTGTAGCCTAGTGTTTTCAACAATTTCCCACAATCATTTGTTGAACCATCTTTCTAATGGAGTAATTGCCAAAAACTACCAGAATTCATGTATGTGTTCAAGAAAACTACCCTTTACTATTTTGCTAAAATTTACTACTTCACACTGATGACTGTTTTACTCAAAATAAACCGTGATTATGACAGGGTTGGCCTACTATTCATGTCCATGTTATGACATGTGGACCCACATGTCAGCTCTATCTCCTTCCTTAAAATTCCCCATGGGAATAGTAAGGCGTACAGTGTTGTGTCTTCACCAGAGCCGATTCCCCGTCCCTTCCCACTCTTGCCGCCCCACCCCATCACCAGAGGCCTCGAGGGCCTTGGC